TTACATATGTATGTGATTATATAGGTAGATCTCAATTTAGCATTTGTGAATTGTATAGTTAAATGTGTGACTACTTGATTTGTGCATACAAATACCTTTACATGTGTACAAAACAATAACTTTGAACATTTAACCCATAAAATGCACCATACTTCACTAAAAAGCCTATTGATGTAGGCCTTCTCAAAAAGCTGGATGCCTAAACAGTGGGATCAAAATTACTGAGCAACCAACAACTCCCCTCAGTGAATAAGAGCGATAGGGTGCTGATCACTTTTGAAAAAATCAGGTAACATATTCAAGTGCCTTAGTAAGGATGTAGGAACGCAACTTTAGGAGTATATTTTTACAACCTTGAACAAGACAAACCTTGGGTCAATGTATCTTCAAAATCAGCAAAGTCTACATGATTTCATTTCATGTAACGATAAGTGTAATTTAAATAATCCAGTTTCACATTCATTCCTGATCACAAATGTTGTCATAAAGGTGCAGTCAATCACACGTTGTCAATATGTATTCTACTCTCCAAAGTAGAATTCTGCTGAGAATGGATCTGTCTCAAACCCTCCCCTTCCCTCTGCTCTTTTCAGTTGCCATCCACATTTTTTCTTGTCACTGTTTTTTTTAATATTTTCTGTTTGATTTCTTCATTTTTCCTCAGCTCCCAGTAACCAATGAACATTGCATTTTTTTTTTTTACTTTTATGGGAATTGAACTATACTTAGGATTAATACATCTCTATCTAAAAATGTATTTCCCTCCCCCACAAAAGTTTAAGTTAAAGTTGGAACGCTCTCTCTGACTAAAGCTTCATTGAAACACAAGGTTAAAATACAAACCAAGTCAAACTCAGGTAGGGGTGAGATTTTATTTCCATTTCACCAATAAATTGAGGCAGAGGTTGATGGGCACATCTTGAGAAGGGAAATGTGTCAGAAGGCTGGTATTCGGGCTGCCAGCACCTGAGAACACAAAACCCTGCCTTTCAGGTGGGGCCTATGCAAGCAAACCTGATCTCTGGCTTAAGCTAAATCTTCAGTATATTAATCATTCTTAGCACTACTATAGAGTATTTCAGCTGTAGCTCTCAAAGTAGTTTAGAGGTTAATATAATTAACTTAATTTTACAGATGGGAAAACAGGCACAGAAAATAAGCAATTTGCCCATCATCACATAGGAGTACAGTGGTGAGATAAAAAGGCATCTGACTTCTATCCTCTAACTTTAAAAAAGTACCTAAAACAAAAACTTAACCCCCATTTAGTGTGAGGGCTTTTGGACATCAAACAGAAACAATGGGGAAAATGCTCGTCATCAGTATTATTGACTATGTTGAGTAAGTTTACAGAGTCCTTTAGAAAGCTGAATAAAAAGAGCTCTGTGGTTTGCAACCACATGTATCTAGAAGTCTAATTGTCCTTGAAAAACTGAAGCTGTATTGGTTGAGGAGTAGGATCTATGCAGTACCTTTTGAGAATACTTATTAGGCGCATTTAAATAGCTTCTTATTGCATTTTAATGTTCATTCACATGTAAGTAAGGAGACTTACAGCCATGCATGCACTAAAGTGAAAAAATATACTTAAATTCTTGGCTTTGGATGAAGCGATAGATTCCAAAAGGGACAACTGCATTAAGAGAATACCCACTCCTTATAAATACTAGAACCAGCATCTTTCTCAATATGAGAGACCGAGTTCTTGTTGCTTTACAAACCTAGTCAGGAAAACTAAGCCTAGCGGCAAGTCACTTATTTTTCATATTCATACTCCAGTATCCCTGTTTGTGCAATTTATATCTTCACCAGCTATACAACATATGTTCTCTTACGTGAACTAGTTCAGTATTTACAAAATTACTGAAATAGTATTAAGAATCAAGCTTGAATTATTTACTGGCACATGGATTAATTCTCCAAAGAAAAATGAAGTAACTAATTTGATTACACAGCATCAAAACAGGAATTTGACTTGACATCTGTGAGCTACAAATGGGTCCCTTGTCTGTACACCATAACAGAAATACACTAAAAACTATTAAAAGTGGAGTTTGGGGATATAATTATACTGTTCATAAGCGTCTCAAGACCTTACACTTTCCAATTCCTAAGTTATTTCCTGTCCACATATACAATTTCTCACTGCTTCTGGTAATGTATGTGTGTCTAAATACAATAGTCTACTGCAGGGGTTAGCAACCTTTCTAAGTGGTGTGCCAAGTCTTCATTTATTCACTCTAATTTAAGGTTTCGCATGCCAATAATATGTTAACATTTTTAGAAGGTCTCTTTCTAGAAGTTTATAATATATAACTAAACTATTGTAAATTAAATTAAATTGCAGAGCCCCCCGGACCAGTGGCCAAGACCTGGGCAGTGTGAGTACCACTGAAAATCAGCTCATGTGCCACCTTCGGCACCCATGCCATAGGTTGCTTACCCCTGGTCTACTGTGTCCATCACATAGATATAACTGATTCATTCTCACTACAACAGTTTATGACAAATACCTCGGCAAGTGTAAAAAAAAAAAATGCCAACACCTCCTGCAGTTCAGGTGCTACATACATAACCAGATTTTTAGTGGCTTCTTTGTAAAGTTGAGATCGTTTTTGTATTTGTGACTGGGAGTTTTAGTGTTAGAGGCAACTACACCAATTCAGCTATCAGTTTTTCTTAATTATGTTTGGCTAAAACTGACGAAGTTTTGGCTTACTTAGACCACAGTAGTTTATACCACTCAGGAGGAGATTAAATCTCTTATATTTTTCCCTTTAACAATTTATGATGCATAAAACAAAGCAGGAGTTTGGTTAGATTTCTAAACTCTCTCTCAAACACTAGTTACATTTTATTTATATTAATACATTTGCTCTTCTGAGCAAAGAGGAGTCAGGTTGCTGTTTTAATAATTCCCAGCTGCTTAGTCCACAGAATGGAAGGGGTAGTTGGAATTTTGATTTTCAATACTGATTTGCTTTGTCCAAACAAACAATTGGCATGACATTTTGAATTAAAATCTCTTAGTATCTGTTTAATGTTGACTAGCAGAATTACTGTGGCTAAGTAATACAAATCAAACCATGAATCAGAAGAGACACAAATCGTTCAGGGAAAAATATTTACTGAACAAATCAATGGTTTGCTTAGGCTAACTGAAGTTTTATGGTACCACTCACATAAATAGTAGCAAGGAAAATATAAGCAGTGTTTCACTGAGGCAGCTTTACAGTATGACATAATATTAATTATGTGAATGAGAACAAACAAGATTAACAGTTCTGGAGGCTTTTACTAGAACTCAAAGCATGAGAGAAGGGGAAGAGAGAAGTTTAAGATTTTAATGAAGTTCTGAGCACTGCTCCACTATCTTCAATTTTACCAAAAATGTTTAATAGTGAAGAGCACCAGCTTTTTGCCTGTCCCAGGCCAATATAAGTTTGTTAAAGTGGCTGTACAACAGAAATATACTAGGGTCTATCTTGCAACAGCAGATTACTACAAAGCTAAATACATTTTATTACCTCCAAAGTGTAATCCTCTACCCTCAGGACAGATTTAAAGATATCAAATCAAGTCATCTGACCTGTAGAAGATAAACCTCAAGTGTGCAAACACAATAGCTAAAGCTAGTCACTAAGACTGCATCTGATGCAGTGACCCTGCTGACCAATAAATACAATTTTAAAAATGAAAACACACAAAAATCTGTGCCCAAGAAGGCAGCACTGTATAAGCAATTTAAGACCTTTATCTCTCCAGGTTCTCATTGTTTAAATGCTTAGGGTATACTTGACTTGTAATATTTTGTATTTAACTACTTAAGGCATGTTCAGTATATTTTGAAGAAATTACTATTTAAAAATAAATTAGCTCTCATTCCCAGGTAAGCATACCTTCAAGAGGAAGTATCATTTAGATAAATGGCTGGGCCCACTAAGGCCAACACTTTAACCTGTTTCAATACATAAACAGGCCCTCTACTATGTGAAGAAGCCACAAAACTTACTTTATCTAGGCAAGCTCCATTTAATATAAGAACACTGCTAGTGCTTTTAGACTCTCTTCATTTATGTACACCATTAACAATAAGTCTGCTAGAATAGTCTTTAAAACATTTAATTCTAATCAAATTCTGGACAGTTCAACACCATTAAGCAGCACTCATGGAACTTGTGAGTTATTGCAAATCTGCAAACAACTCCAACTATGGATGTATTTCACCTCAGAGTGGATACAATCCAGGTGAATGGATGAAAGCACATTATTAATCATACTCTCCACATGAATCAAAGTATTGCAAGGCTAGAATTCAATTTTTTTGCTAAGACTATAAACAAGACTACGCTAGTACATTGTTCTGTAGTGTAATATGAACACTGTGAGGTATAATCTGTAAGCAGTTATTATAGATATGCACAGGTATAAAACCACTAAGTACCTTACTATAGCCAAGAGGAAAAGTTATTTTCAGCCACTGCTATTCTTTTGAGAAGTCATGGGAGGAACGAAAGTGGAGGATTTTCATAAGAAAAAATAATCTTTCCTTTCCTTAAGACTCAACACATCACTTCCATGATGTAGACAGGCCTCCACTGTTACAGAAAGGCAAGTCCAGAAAGTACACAACTATCTCTCATATAGATCAAAAATATACTTTTAGTAGCATAGTAAAGTTATCCTTTTGGTATTACTAATACTGTAGTTGTGTTTAATATCATACAAGAATAGTTAATACTATATACGCACGCCCAAAAGCAGAAGTAAAACTTAGAAATAAATGAGTTCTTTGAAAAAAAGTAAGAGCTAAAATTAGGAATAAGCTACATTACAAGGACCTTCCTGCAGCATTCTAAATTTAAGGTACGTATTAAACTCAGAACTAAGGCTAACATTGCTATTTCATTAGAAAATGGCTTGTGTGAAACCTTAGTCTCACTTATCTTTTTTAATCAGACACATTTGAGGATTGTGATCCAATGATTGTTTAGCAGCAATTTTACACAACTGTAATTCTTTTATTAACAGGTATTATAAACAGATAATACTAATTTTATTTAAAAACCATGAGTGCCACATTGATGAATATACAGTTCATGAATAACTTAAAGTATTTCCCATATTAAAAGGCAATGCACACAGCATACAAAAAAGTATACTAAACAAAGCTATAATAAGGATACATGATTGAAGTGTCTAAAATGATATATACAGTACATAATGTCAATTGTGTGTTCAGTACAGTTGCTTTCTGTACCACAATTCCCATCATGCCTCACTTTCCCCAGACACTGAATTCTGCACCTCCTCTTCCAAAATTGGTACAATCAGGTTATCCTTGGACATCAAATTATATTTCATCACAAATTTAGTGAACCGGTGACACAAAAAGGTTTCATTCTGAGGATGGAAAAAAAAATTTAAATTCCAATGTAAAATAAAATGCATTATGACATATACGAGAAGGGAATATTTCAAAGTGAATTGTGGGAAATTTATCATAAAAATCCTGGAGCATAAATAAATTGTCCCCTTGGTATTGTAACTTTTAGGAACATTGGGTGGTTTACATCTAAATAATACCACCACAAGGAATCCATTAGTAAAATAGTTTTATTTCCCCCTTTTATATTCATAAGAGTGGACACAAGCACCTATTTAAGCTTTAATCAATGTTAAAAGCACCCGAATAGGAATATATTCAAGTCCCACTATACCAAGCATGAAATCAGATAAGCAATTCTGTGTCAACTAAATTCTGGTCCACTATGCAAAGCCCTAACAAAAGCTGTATATAGGCACCTGTGGTAATTAAATCCCTCCCCCACCACACACCCCCACACCCCAACTAAACAGTAAACTGAGTCAGTCTTTAGCTGCTACTACAGTCCACAGGCTCCAGTAGTATGTGTACCCACTGTGCTCCTCCCCATGCTAGTCCTTAGCCTTGTTTTTACTGCTATTCACACATCTAAGCCCCCTTCCTGACTTAAAATTTAATCAGTTAAAAAAATATATATATAGTTTCAGGTAATATACATGCTCCTGAGTCCCCTGTTGATTCTGTGGCTTTACCATCAGACTTCCCAACTGTTAAAATGTTTCCTCCATTACTGTGTGAAAGATGTACACAAACAAGTAACTGACTGTACAAAAAAGTGCTGTCAAGCATAAAGTAAACTGAAAAAAATATTTCTCTACTTTCAATGATAATAATCCTAAGGGTTTCCTGTAACACTCAAAGGCAAGCAATTTTCATAACAAAGGTCACTGAAATGATCGTATTAAAGTTCTTGTAAAGCTTCCTGCTTCTGTATCGTGAACTTCTACCCACTTTAGGAGAACTATAATAAACAGGATTAAAAAAAGCACACATGAAATTGCTTAGTTTGAAGACCAAAGTCATTCACATAAAACTTCACACAATTCTTACATACATGTAACCTATTATGAACTGTACCTTGCTTGCTAAGGAGGTCTGCGTAGTGAAAGTGTTAAGAGAAGAAAATATGTAACAACTGCAGAACAACAATGCTTGGCATCACTTTAGTAAATGCACTACTGAAAGTACATGCAAAGTACTCAGTTACTTACTTCATATTCATCAAATATCTGCCGATGATGAAAATACGCATGGGAAAATATTCTGTAAATCCTACGGCACACTGATCCTAGTTTGGCTACAGAGGATTCCTTTATGCTAACTCTGTAAGCATAAGTCAAATGTTATACAGTACTCAGTTTTACAAATCTACAGGTTGAATACAGATATAAACATGCACATGTGCGCCTGTGTATTTAATTTTAGTTGTTTATACTGGATTAATTGATTCCACAAGAAATTCCAAAAGTTAGGTTTTGTGGATGACTGATATTTAAATTCTGTAATCATTATTCTTGAAAGAATTTAGTAAAAATATATTATAATTTTTATAGTATAGTATATTATACTTATACTTATAGTATATTATACAACTTAATATAGTATATTATAATACTACTATATTAAGTTGGTTGATTCTGCACATTTAAAACTTCATATTTTGATTGCAGAAACACTGGCTTCTTTCCACAGAAAGGTTTTAAAATTAATCTGGAAGGGGCTAGATTCCCCATTTCTAGCACAGAGGGATACAAACTGCACACTCCTTCCCCAGCGGGACCACTGTGCTCCATGGAGGCTCCTCCCCAGAAAACTCAGCTTTTACTTTTCCATCTGGGGTTCCATAAATTGGCATGGAGACTGCCTGAGAAACTGAATCTGTGCACATCCTTGGCCAGGCCTCTTTGCAGTCAGTGGTGTCCACTTTTGGGACTGCACTAGTTTGGTGTGGGCTTCCCAGCACAGCATGTCTAACAGTACCTTGAGCCACCACAACTCCCTCCCTCCTTTGAGGTGGGATTTTCCCCACTGGAGACCTAGCCTACACTGGAAAACCCAACTTGATTAAATTGGATTGGTAATATAGTCCCTTCAACACCTCTGTTTTACCTCTAACAAGCTGGTGGCAGAGCAGTACTAAAAGCAGGACCTCTTCCCATACTTAGCAACAACAGTAACTGTGGACATGCTGCCACATTTAGTATTTTTCATCATATTCTGTAATACTGTAATACAGTAATTTATTCTACTAGATACATGAAAAACAATTTGCATTACCAAACACTGTTTCAGATTTGTTCCACGTATGAACAAGATTTTCTGTAAGTAAAATAACCCCTCCCACCCCCCCAAAAAAATTAAAGATGATGCTTCTAAGAGTTTTACCTGCTGGGGAAATATTTATTGCTATTCAGAAGACATGCAGCTCCATCAAGCGTGTGCCTGGTGTAGTCTATAGCAGGACACTAAAAAATATTAGGGGGGAAAACAGGTATGACACTGCATCACACAATATTTCACACAGAATTGTCTGACACATCATACAGCCATTTTGAATTCCAAAAGTTTTACAGAGTTTTTATAAGGGTTTGAGTAAACTTCCCCCATATGAGAGCTGTCTCCACCTCCCATGTTTTACTACTTATAGCTCCAAGTACCCCTGATTGGATTATTTCAGGAGAATGGTTGTTTTGGCAATGGGGCATATGCACAGGAGTAGATGTTCTAATTAAGTGTCTCTTTAGCAACTGACATGACAGAAGTTCTATAATGGAAGACCACTGCCAAAGAAAAAGTTCATCCCACCACCTACAAGTTAGTTTGGCTTCCATGGCTCAGTCATGAGGGCAGACCATGGACTGCTCCTCAGTTGCTTTGACAAGCAGGATCAGAGTCCATGATCTTCCCACTCCTTGTGCTCCACCCATTTCTCCAATAAACTTACACTAAATCCCTCCCTACCTAGGAGAACAAAACTCATTTTATGGAAAATTCAATTGCGTGGATGTCTGCTTCATCTTGACTGAGGAGAAAAAGAGTTAGACGGTAGATGGGATCATTTGTTTTCTGCGGCTGAGTTTTCTACTGCCCAAAACATGGGTTCTGAATAGCAGTACATGACTAAACACTGTGAGGTGAGGAAGAACAAGAGTCAAAGTTTCTCCCAACCCAGACATGGAGGTAACTGGGCTGAATGGAATTTACTAGTGCTTAAAAATATATTTTTTTTCCTTATCTAAACCTTAATCTGTGTACAGAACTTACCCCTTTGCTCTGCATGCTATGTACCTTTGGGGTGAACAGATACTGCTTTGTTTTGAAGAAGCTGTTTTAGAGTCTCTTTAATCAGCTGCTATCAGGTTGCCAAGGGGAAAGGGCTTACATGTGCCAAATACAGTTGGGTTTGTCAGGTTAACACAGTTAGTAAACAGGGAGGCTGCAGCTGAAAGATCCAGTCTAACAGTGGTAGGATCCCACAGATCCACCCAAAGAAGGGTGAAGGTAACAAAATCTGTCATGTAAGGGGTCTACTCAAGAGGGAGTAAAAGGGGTTGAAAATGCAGTTCACCTTGTAATCTCTTCATCTGGTTTAAATTAAAGGAGGCAGGACTTTGGGCAAAAAACTAGAACAATTTTAAAGGAACACACTATTATTATGGAAGACTAGGTATGAAGAGAGATCAGATAAGATAGACAGCTCTACTATCCTCTCAAACAGCAGCCACCAGGAAAGCCACTCTGAAGATAAGAAAATATAAGTTTACCAACTGGGTGGCTCAGACAGGAGCTTGGGTAATGTTCCATGTGCTTGGACATTCAGATACGTAACTCTGCAACCCTCACTGTCAGAATTTGAAGATGCATGCTCCTTTGATCTGCTCTTGAGGTGCTAGTAGGGTTATCTGATAACCCACAGTTTGTGAAGCTGCCTCTCCCTTTAGGACTGTGTTCTCGACAAGGCTGAATATCCATGTGGTATCTCATATTGTCAGGAGACTGGCTGGCCCCTGGAGAGGAAAGCCTATCCCTAGTTTGTGTTGATTTTCCCACCAGAGCAAAGATCTTTTCACCTGGATGTTCCAGGTTGTCTCCTAATCAGACTCCTGTGATAACTAATTCAAGTGAATGCACAACATGCTTAATGCAATGGTGCAAGAGGGACAACTATGGTATTTTCCTCACTCAATTTTAACCTTCTCTGGGTGTTCCAAGCTGCTAGAAAAATTCTCTTGAGGAAAGTAGGGCAACATTCCTGTATGTTGCTCAGAGTGAGGCAGGACAAACTGGAAAAGCAGAGAAAGAGCTGGAGAGTATGAAAATCCTGACGGTGATTGGTCATCATTGTCCCTGTCAACATACTAGAAGGAACCAGCCCTTGGTCTGTGCTGTAGCAGACCAAGCCATGGAAAAATTAAAATCCCTATACTTAACTGTTTTAATCATGCAGGGTTAAAGATAGATCTCATTGACCGAGTGACAAGTATTGCAAGCTAATACACTATACTTGGTTAGTCTGGACACATGAAACATATCAACACACCCATGAAGGGGTAGCAAAATATCAATTTCACTTCTCTTTTCATCAATACTCCATAATTATTCTGTACTGAATTTTAGATGACAAACACTGTTAGCTTGAGAACGTAGAAAATAAGAAGTAAACTCATGTAATATTTCATTGAGTTTTAGCCTGGCCACTTAACTACTTTCCAATTATTAAGAACATACTAAAATCAGTTTCAGTGAGGAAAGGGAAAAAAAATATGGAACTCTACCTCTGCTAAAAACACTAACCAAGATTCTGGATGGTTCCTTTTTTTTTATTTTGTATATTCACTTCCAATTCCATTTCTGTTTGAGAAAGTTTGTTTCCCACCTCCCCCAAACTTCTTTCTTCACTAACTTCAAAGGGAAGGTGTCATCATGTGCTTATTACACCTTTTTCCCCTCCACCAAGTGCACATTATTTCTGGTGAAAGATGTTGAACTTCTAGCTATGGAACAGGCATTTTTATTGCTCTGTACAGCAGGTAATGGCACGGCAAGCATCCCCAAACCATCCCACCCGAGTGCCTCAACCCTCCCCTAAAAGGAAACTTTCTCCAGGGCTGAGAAGAAAGTGCAGTCTCCATGGCTACTTAGTCCTTGATCTCTTTGCTAAGACTCTCAACGTAATAATGGTTGTAATGTGAACAGTTGTACACCAGGGCCTACCAATCATGCATCAAATATTACTAACTCTTGTTCATGCACCAGTACAGAGAAATTAAGTCAGACTAATCAGCAGTCTACAATCTTACTACCAAAATTTACTAAAGTAAAAAACCAAGGGCCAGAATGGTCCTTCCCAAGGAGAAAGCCACAGGAGGGTGTCAGAGGAGCTGAAGATGCAGAGGTTCCCACTGCAGAATGCCCTGCAAGTTGTCACCAGAAGCAGGGACTTGAGAGTCCACAGGGAGGTGGGGGGAGGGGGAGGAAGAGAGGAAGCCTTCCAACTCCATGAAACCGCAGAGAAAGGCAACTTGATCTGCTAAAAAAGAAATCCCTTTTCGTTACTCAGTAACAACTATGGAGGTGACCAGAGAAAATTTAATACAGATTAAAGCTATATTACTCTTCCAGATTCCCACACAAAAGGTGAGGGGGAAGTAGGGATCTGTATGAGACTGTTATGGAGAGCAGCTGGTTCCCTGCTCTTCTGCCTCCTATGAGTCACTATGGAGGATGTGAGAAGCAAGCAGGGAGTACTGCTATGAAAGTCGCATTCCCACATATCCCTTCAATTTGACTAAGACAAGATATGCACGGATGGCCCCTTCTGTGCATGGATCCCTGAAGAAAATATGAGCCTTCACAGATATATTTCAAAAAATACCCTCCTTACCTCTTTGGGAGTTTTATGGGCTGCACAAAGAAAAATCCATTGTTCAGTTGCTGTCATCTGAGTGCATGTATCTGGGTGGCATTCACTCTGTTGAAACAGTTGTTCAGTTAATAAAATACCAAACAGAGAAAGCAAGATTTGATCATTATTAATAATTTAACTCTCAATTCCTTAAAATCAGAAAAATATTTTAAAGCTACTTGATCAACTAAAGTCTTCTGGAATCCTAAAACTATGTTCCTAAAGTCATGCTGGCTAAAAATATGTGAACGAAAAGTTTGCAAAGCTTTGTGAGCTAATATTACATCTAAAAATACAAAAACAACCTGGTCTCTGACACAAAAATTAAATAAGAAGAGAGTTACCTGAAGCTTGACAGCAAGTCCATTGAGCTCGAGACAGAATTGTCTAGAAATTTAAATACAGCATTGTCAAAACAGTTTCCCTAATGGAAACATTTTAACGCAAAGAACAACTTGTCATAAACACTAATGGTTTTATGCATCTCTAGCACTTTTAATAATTACATTGGTCTCTTCTGGGGTGTAGAAAGCAGAAGAGGAATGAGATCAAATGTAAAAAATATGGTTCAAAATAATTTCAGCAGCTATGACAAATTTAGAATCTTGGACATATCTGTAGAATATACAAGGAAGAAAAGAATAAATAAGAGGAGACTATGAGATAACAGGAATACAAAAAGAAAAGTCCGAAAATTTTAATTTATTATTCGTTCAGAGGAACTCATACAACTATATTCGAGTTTTCTCCTTTGTCAAAAAGGATAAACTGAACAGTATTCCAATAGCAGAGACTAGGAATATATTATTTTCTCCCTTAGGAAAATCTACATTTTACAAATTTGCCTTTGATAGCAATTCATGTTTAAGAAAAAAAAAAAGTAAAATCCCTTAAACATACACTGAAGAAAAACACATCATAAGGTGCAAACTGATCAAACCCATCTATGCTATACACCCTGAAAGTCCAATTCTGTGGCTTTAGTGCCATCCCCAAATGCTCAAGAGACTACTACTGAGACCTCCAGGAGTACCTCTCTATAAGCTAGCCTGAGTTGAGGTGTAATGCAGTGAGGCTATGTGTGAAAGCTGCTGATTGCCTCACTCTCAGGCACACTCTAGCAGACAGTTTAGAGAAGATTTAATGCTTCGGAGGAAGCAGGGTAAAATTTTCAGAAGTGACTAACTTAGGCACCTAAGTCCCATTTTCAAACGAAATATAGGTACTTAAGAGCCTAAGTCTCATTAAAAGTCATTGGGACTTAGGCTCCCAAGTGCCACATTTTTAAAGGTATTTAGGTGCCTAGAACCGAGGTGCCTAACTCTCATTTGGAGGCACAAACTTGAAACTATTCTTAGCCTTGAAAATGTATGTTGATGGAATGACAAGACAATCAAACTAAGAAAAAAACTGATTTTTTTTTCAGAATGTCAGGACACTAATCATAGCAAAGTGATGTAAAAATCAAAGCAGAATAAGGGTGGAAATATCAGTGAGCAGAATACTGAGTCTGTACTATAATAAAATAAAACACTTTCAGTAACAAGGACAGTTTGGAGACATAAAAGGCATCTAGGTACCCAGCTTAACCCCAATGTATTATAACAGCTAACAGACATAAAGAGAAGGCCAGAAAAATTGTCACGATTTCTCCGATAGTGACTGGAATAAAAACGGAGAACATGTTTACTACAAAACATATTTTCTTACTGTTTGTTAAAAACAAGCCTCATAGCTAAAGGCTATTCTGGAGAGTATCTAATGATTACAATATTCATATTGTAGTAAGTGAAAGTAAGGGGTTGATGAGATTGAGGCGGGGAGGTGCTGTGGAAACTCATGGCTGTCCTTTCAGTCCATACTGACATAAATCTTTGAGTTCAATTCTAGAAGTATTTAAAATAAACAAACACGTATGTTGACATCACACATTTTTAAAAGCAAAAGGGAGTTTAAGGGAATCCTCACAACAATGAACTTGGTAATCAGAAAAGGAGCAAATAAATTCCATTGTTAAGACTACAAATCTATTACTAATACATAATTCTAAAATGTTTAATAGTACAAAGTTTTGCTCTTGTCGGTTTGTTGTTTTTTTAAACAGTCGTAAAAAAATATTTAGAGTCTATAAGAGTCAGACTATTATGATTCATTACTACTGCTAATCAGTGTGGTGGGATTCTCGATTCTACATTTTGACAAAGCATGAATTCTTACCGTAAATGTTCATACTTCCATACACCTTCATCCTGTCCTTCAGGAGGTTCCAGGATTTTGTCAATGTTAGAACAGTCTGCCCTTATGTTTTGTTGGATATACTGAGAAGAAAAAGTAATAATTTCTCAAAGTTGTTTAAAGATAGTAAGACACCATATTTAGGACTGTGCCACAACTCTAGCTACTTTGATATATACCTAATAGCCACTACAGTAAGGATAACAACTACTTATTTCTTTAGTCTAGCTGAAATTGAGCAGCTATTTTGATAGACAAAAGTAAGAGGACAAAAAAAAAGTAGCAATAGGTGGAGAAGGAACAAAGCAAATGTCCCAAAAATACAGTGTGTGAAAAACATGTCTTCCCTAAATGAGAAATGGTAAGAGGAGCAGTGAGTTTTACCAGGTAGCAATAAAACCTGTTCAGCTGGTGAAACCGGACACCAGGATTCTAGTGATTTCTACACAGAAAATTACTGTATTAACCAATACACTGATTTCTATTTCTCTATGGAATTATGAAGTTATTTTTGTACAACTATATCACAACCAAGAAGAGAATGTGCCCTTTTGCTTACATCTTGCCAGAAGTCACAAGATTTGGGTGACTAAACTTATACACATGAAAAAAATATTTATTAGAACAAAAAATACCTGTTGAACAGCTAGTGTGCTATCCATTTCTTCAAAAGATTCATCAGGCCAATTGTAAAAATCCTATGGAAAAAAACCCCAAATTTAAACCAGTTTAATAAAGGGTGGGAAAGATAGTATGTCATTTGCAGCAAATTCTGAATGCTTAATATCAGGAAACTTCAACATGCTGTAGGAAAATAACCTTTACAGTTTCAACAAACAGGAAACTACATCTAGAAAGAGAGGAAGCAAACAAAGTTGCAAAGGACTATATGGGACTAATGCTCAACCTCCTAAAAACCAAAATATGAAACTTACAATAAAGGAGCTACCACAAAGTTATTTCATATCTTAAAATTAAAGCTAAAGCTTTGCTTGACTTGTAATACTGGAAATATCATCTTTCATTCCTTTTCATATGCTAAGAAGAGTCAGATCTGGTTAATACTTAAAGACCCCAAAAAGAAGTCCAGGGTTCTGAAGGAAGTGGTATTAAAGTGATTTCACAAGGGACCAGCAAGATAGGAGTAATGGTACTTCCAGCAGCACCTCTGGGTTGTTATGATGGGGTGTTGGCCTAACTCTGCCAAGACACTTAGCTATTATTCTACCAAATATCCTGCCTGATTTTTTCTGATTGAATGTTTTGTTCATTTTCATCCTAAACCATCATGTAACATCATTAGATGCTGTTAAAAAGGTGTCAACTTTCACCTCAGAGGTGGCTGCCTGCCAGTGGCTGGGGAAGTAATTCATACACACACACGATCACGTAAATAAATGTAAGATTACGTTAGCTGGAGTCACTAACATTTAGCGACTAGGACTCTTCCTTATGACCAGAGACTCCTGAACACCTAGGCGCTGCCCTGGGAGGGGCTCCCGGCCAATCCCAGTGGAGAAAACACCTTTCTTAGCTGACAAGGGTACAAGCGGAACAGACTCATCCCCACAGCGGGCCGGGGGGGATCCTCACCCCCGGGCGCCGAGAAGCGCTGCCAGCCCCTGCGGGGCCGACAGAGCGAGGCCCCCGGAGAGCAGCACCGGCCGGGCGCGGGACAGCCCAGAGCGGCCCGGCTCCGGTGACAACCCGAGCGCGGGTCCCTGCCAGGCGAGCTGGGCCCAGAGCCCGCTGCGGGCCGCCCCCGCCCGCCCG